CCCCCCCCGTGCCTCAGCCAATCGCGGCGCGAGGCGTCACGGTGGGGCAGGGAGAACAGAGGGGGCGGGGCCCGCGCCTGCGCGGCGGCGGCGCTTTGCTCGTGGGGGTGGGCGGGGCTGGGGAGGCCACGCCCCCTAGAGACCGCGCCGGGCGTTGCCATGGGAACGCAGGGGGAGCGCGGGGGGGGGAGAGAGAGATGTCCCGTCACCATGGCAACGGCACCCGGAGATGCTGTCCTGTCGCCATGGCAACGGCACCCAGAGATGCTGTCCTGTCGCCATGGTAACTGTCACCCGGAGATGCTGCCCTGTCGCCATGGCAACTGTCACCCAGAGAGATGGCCCATCCCTGTCACAACCCACTGTCACCCCCAGGCGCTGTCACCCGCGGTGACACCCTCTCCCTGTCCCCCCGCAGACACCCTGACACCCACAGCAACGACACCCCCAGGGACACCCTGTCCTCCCCCTGAGAGACAGCGTGTCCTCATCACCCACAGCGACAGCCTTGTCACCCCCAGCCAGTGTCACCCTCAGGGACAACCTGTCCCTGCCACCCTCAGTGACAACCTGTGCCTGTCACCCAGTGACAATTGTCACCCTGAGAGACACCCTGTCCTGTCACCTGCAGCCACTGTCTCATCCAGCAACAACTGTCACCCCGAGAGACACCCTGCCCTGTCACTCCCCGTGCCACCCCTGTGTCCCAGAGGCCGCTGTCACTCTCAGCAACAACCTGTCCCTGTCAGCCGGGGCCACTGTCACCCTGAGGGACAGCCCATCCCTGTCACCATGGCAACCGTCACACCAGGAGGTGGCTGTCCCTGTCCCCCACAGTCACACCCCATCCCTGTCACCCACAGCACCTTGTCACTGGGGTGACAGCCCTGTGCCTCGTCCCTGTCACCACCCGGGGCTCTGTCCCCCCCTGTGTCCCCAGTTCGGGTGACACCCGAGGGCACAGGAACCCCCGGGACAGCCGCTGGTGGGGTGACAGTGTGCCTGGGGACACAGGGACAGGAGGGGACGTGGGGTGACGGGGGGACACAGGGGGACGTGGGGTGACGGGGGGTGACGGGGGGTGACGGGGGGTGACACGGGGCATTGGGGATACGGGGACCTGGGGACACGGCATTCAAGGAGGTGGGGAGGTGGGGACACAGGACACGGGGATGAGGGGACACAGGGGGCAGGGGGTGGTTGGGGCAGAGCCTGGGGGAGGGACCCTGCCTGCGCCCCC